GGAGAGGAAGCAGAGTCATAACAGTGTTTTGGTTTCCACATAATTATAAAACAATCTGCTAGTGTCTTGCCTAAATGATTCCCTCAAAGGGCTAAAGTGGCCACTAGACTGCTGGGGAGCCCTTATTTATCCTGTCTTCTACACCAACAGTGGAGGAGGAGATTAAGGGACGTTAAATATCTGAAAAGCTCATAGTTAGAGGCCTGAAATCCAGAGTGGTACCTTGGGGTTTACAAGTCGCCATAACAACCAGATGCCATCGATATCCTAACCAGAATTTGTGAGTTGGCACGCCAAGAGAAAAGCCCATTTCGTAATTTGTGAATATTTCTAAGGGATTTTTGATGGAAGCCTTGGTTATATTTGAATGAAACGGAGGCTAAGCAATCAGCTACAAAGAGTAACAACAGTTTGGGTGATAGGCAAAGGATCAACAAGTAGGAAGGTACCCTAATGCACGCTCTGAAATATGGTGAAAGAGCTATGATGCTGTGGGGTTTTTTTAAACATAACAGACTTCAGAAACTAGTTGGCTTTAAAGGATTCAATACATGAAAAAGAGTCGGCTAGACCCCAACAAAAAACTAGAAATGGGTAATCTCAGGAGTGACAGTAGGTGTGGTAATGGTGATTTATCTTAAAACAACTTATAAATCAAATAAAGGTTGGAAGTTCCTGAGAAATACTCTTTGAGTCCGACAAATTATTAATCCAAAGCATTTTTTCCAACTTACTTTACTGGGTTGCCAATGAATTATTGTACCTTTCAATTTTCTAAATTGAATCAAGTGTATTTCCTAGCTTGAATCACACATACAAAGGGATTACAATAATTATTTTAGCCTCAAATTCCATGACTTTTTGAGGAATATTTCATATAAATTGTATTTCAATCTCCAGTTTCAGACTAGTGGACCTATAAACGTCAAACATCTATAAGTCTTCTGCTGTCTATCCCGACACCTTAAAAGTTGGCCTCTGCTAAAACCTATTGGCTTTGTATTTTTCAAAGCCTTTATATTTTTGGTGGATAATCTGACGCAAAAAGTGAAATAAATGACACTAAAATCTGTATTTCTTAAAACAGACTCCCAACTGTAGTTTCTAAATGATAAAAAAACTGCCTGTTTCAGGATAATTCAAACACATTTTTCCCATTAACACATAAAAGCCTGGTTTTGCTTCATTATCAATTTTAAAGATGTCAGTAACTTGTTTTTTGCAGAACATCCTGTAAACACCTACATATTAATACAACATAAGTTTAACTTCAGGCTATTTATGTTTTTACAAGGTGTTAATGAGAAAAAGGTTGCTGCTCATAAAGTCTTGATCGATATTTTATCACTTCCAGCATATTGGTAAGCGCAATTAAAAATAAAGAGTCTGTAGGTGTGTTTATTGGCAATAGTTCAGAAAACATCTGATGTTTGTACTCTAATCTTATCTCATCTGATATTATGTACTCTGTCAATATTCAACCCTTTGAGAGTAGCATTCATGCCTAATAAACAGTTAGCTTTGTTTTTTGACAGATTTAACTAAATAATGGGACCAAGCTATAGGAGTGGCAGGCAGCTGGTAACGACTGAATGGCACATGCTATATTTATCATTTGAGAGCATGAAGAAGTCTTCTAAGACCTTAATAATTCAGAGGTCAGAGATGGCTTAAAAAATAACAAGGCAAAGAATAATACAAAAAAAAAAAGACTGGATTGAAATTACCTAGAAAAATAAAAGCTCACAGAAAGTCTGCAGAACTAAATGATTCAAATTAGCTTTAAATAACATGAAATGTCTGAATGCATTGAGACAGAATAGAAAGAAATTACAGAGTTGAGCATAAAACTGTAAGTAATGCACTCATTACACATTGAGAGAACAGAATGAAAGTAATAGGCAATAAATTGTAAAAGATTTTACCTTAAAAAAAGCTCCGGTTAAATCCTATTTCAAGTTATAAAAGCTGAAAAGTCCAAACGGCTTTAAATTGTGCATGACAAAAATGAAAGAGGTCTAAATATTTGAAGATCTGACTTTTTACATTTCTTGGATTTTCCAAAGTCAGAAAGCCTGCAATGTTTCACGCAGCGATTGAATTATGTTTTATCAACTAAAACACAGGTCTTAGATGGAAGCCAATCCTACCCAGCTTGAATAGATTGTTTTTCAATAAGTTTCCCTCCCTGTTTTCAATGAAAGGAGCTACAGTAATTCCCTGATGTGATGGACCTCTGTAGTGCTAAGAGCAATTTCTTAATCAAGCAAAGAAAATACCAGGATTCTGCTGTGATTTCAATAAATAAAAGCCAGCATGAAATGTTGGAGAGATCCAATTTCCATTCTGAAGTATTTTAGTGGAAAAATGCAAGTTGTTTTTTTTAAGACTTGTTATGACATGCTTTAACATTTCAGGTTCCATTTTCAGAGGGTCTTTAGTAACATGGGGTAGAGTGGAAGACAGTAATTTATGCATTATGTTCTTTACTTATTCTAAACTGTCGCTTGATGAAAGCTGGATCTGACTCGCCTATTTAAAAACATACCTGTAACACACACTCTCTGGGGAGTTTTTCTTATTTACTGACAAATATTTCAAAGGGCGAAGAAAGTTTAAATGTCAAGGCTACATAATTTTACAAACTAAATTAAAAGAGTTCTCAGAGTGAATAAGAAACTTTGAGATTCTTTAAGGTCATTCTGCAGTGGTCAGATTTTAAATATAGAAATCCTGCAATAAACTATGGATGGATGGACGGACAGATGTCAATAACCGTAGTATGAAGTTTTACAGGATCTAAAAAACAGTTCTGCTCTTAATTCTCAAGGATAGGAAAACTATAGTCGATGCTTTGGTCTTAAATCGTTTATCCTCAACAATGCTCTGCATATCAGTAACTGTGTCTTTTGCAAAAAGCGTCAGGATGTACTAATGGAAAAAAAGCACATGCAAAATGTATTCTTTTCTTTATTCCACTGCTTCCTAGTTTAATCTGTTCTCGCTTCCATTGCCAACCTGATCCTAAACCCCCTCTATGCTTCATCTTTGCCGTCTCATCTATATGAGGATGGATTATTTGCCCTTGGCACACCACTTGGTAGTCTGCATGGCAAGTCAGCCGGTAAGTAGATCTATAGGAAGCTGAAGGAGAAAAGTATCGCTACATTTATTCCTGCTTGTGTGCTTGCAAGGTAGCAGGGTTATTTAAATGTTAGTATGTACTGTGAATAAAAGAAACAGAAGCCTAAACGGATGCAGAGGGTAAAGAGTGCAGAGAAAAGGAAAGTAATGTGGAAAGTTGGGGCTATTGATGAGTGAACTCTATGTGAGATAGCTTAAAGGAGCAGAAATTGCATTGGAAAAGCTGCCGCCTAACCAGAAACCAGCACCACATAACAAGGAAGCATTTAGACATTGAATACGAATGAAAAATATAAACTGCGAAGTTAAGAGCACCCCCCCTCCCTATTCTATTTTATAAATACAAAACAGAGAAGTTTATAAAGCTTTTTTCAAAAACAGCACTTATTCTGATACCAAAAAATAATTCAGCACAAAGACTGAGTTGTAAATTCGCAGTCATCTGGGTCATGACAACCACAAACGGGTTTAAATTGGAAGGCAACAGGACTTTAGCTCATTTCTTTAAAGACATTTCCACACCTAAAGAGGACAAGGACCAAAGGACACACCTTTGAAGACAAAAGTGTTAAGATTTGGGACTGAGAGGATAGATGGTTTCAAAGAAGCGTCAAGGAAGCTATATTTGTAAAGAGAGAGGGAGGGTTGCAACTTCAGCTTTAAAACATTTACAATTCAGTCATGGAAGACCAATCACAGAGTCCATGCACAGTAAACAAGAAGAAACAAAGGGTGGCTATTTGATTAGCATCTGACCTGGAATGTGTGCAGGAGGATGGACCTCATTGATGCTCAAATAAATCAGCACTCCAACTAGAGTTTGCTCTGGAGACTTCTCCACAGGTGTTGAAATGTCTTTAAAACTGAGCCAAAGTCCGGTTGCCTTCCGATTTAAGGCGGTTTTTAGTTAGAAAATACCAAAGGAAAATCATAAACAATCAATCCCTTGCAAAAGAGGGTGTTCTGGACAGATGAAGCTAACATTTTTTGGACATGTAGAATGTCAATTATAGAGATTTAAAAAGTATTACTGCATAATAACAAAAGGATGACCTTAAAAATGGAGCTAAACCTACAGCTGAATGGCCTTACACGATCGATAAGCACAAAATAATATCAGTCTCTAGCTGTGCAAACATAGCAGAGAAAAAGTCCATCAGTATTAAAGTTGTTGCTGCAGTAAAACGAGGCTCTATGATGTTCCGATTCAGAAAGTTAAGGACAAACATTTTAGATTTTCATCAATACAGAAAAAGAAACTATGATCAAGTCTCCACCGACTTCCCAATTAAACTCCAAATTCTGCTGGTTTGCAAAAAAAGAAAAATAAAAGAAAAGGAAGTGTTTGTGAGTTCTTCTGCAACACCCTAAGGATCTAAAAGTAGAGATAGAGCGGCGTTGCTAAAAAAAATTGATTTAAAAAAATTGATGAAAGAGCAAAAAGTTCAAAAAGTCATGTGAGAACATCTGAAAAGTGATTCTGTTTGAGGCTGATAATATCAGATCATTTGTAGATTTGATGGTCACTACAGCAAAGAAGCCAGGTCTCTTGCAGTGAGCTAAATAGCCAAAGTCACCTTCTGGCAGCTGGCTACTGTCATCTACTAATGCACTCAGAACTTCTGAACAGCGTGGGTAATGACCGTAGAGCTAATGAAGAAGGATGTAGGGCATGATCATCTACGGTCTGCTCTAATGTTATTAAAACATATATGGACAATTCATTTTCATTTACCTAGGAAGGAGAGTTTGGCATCTACTTTCTCCATATGTTGCGCATTCAGAAAATGGAAAGCTACTTGAAAGTTACTCGACTCCATGACAAAGTGCGTTAAATGGTCCTCAGAGTAGGTTACCTGAAAATCCCGCTCCTCTAGAATCTCTTTCCTCCACCGTACCAAGAAGGCAGCGCACACGTAGAGGTGAAAATGAGAGAAGCCTTCTGGTTCAGCCTAGAAACACAGAAATATGACACATTTAGGATTACATAACATCTGAAGAAACAACAAAAACCCAGATGTACTTTTGAATATAAAGGGAAATATTTCTATTGTTTAATGACTGAATCTGTAAAACTAGCAATGTTTTGCGACTTCCAACAGTACCATTAAAAACCACACGTGGTCGTCCTTATAAAAACCAAGAGAATTATTTTGGCTTTTGCAATAGCTGCAATTGTTATTTTATTGTTATTATTGTTTGTTATTAATAGTTATTGTACGTTTTAGCAAACAATAAATGTGTGCTTAATATTTTAATGGGCTACCAATCTTTTTTCACTTTTACTGAAATGATTCACTTTCCTTTCTTTCGAAAGGGTAAATGTTTTATTTTGTCCATACATCTAAAAATAGTGTTTTTTGATAATTTCCTAAACTCTTGCAGAAAAACAGTTATTGGACAGTTGTACTTTTCTTTTTATTTGTGCTACCGAGGAATTTTAATCTAAAGTAGCAGCAATCAATATGGATTTTTGATTCATTTTTTCCCCTCACCACTTTAATATGTATATTTTAATATAGAAACTTAATGAAATCTTATCTAAACTGGTTCCCAATACAAAGTAAGGAACTACCAAGAACCAGTAGCCATCAAGTTTTGCAAGTTAGGTGCAACTTGCACCTGACAATCTCTACTCATTATATCAAAAAGACACAGACCAGCAGTAAGTACAAAAAAATTTAGTTTTTAAATGTTGATTACTCAATGGGAAGGAGAATAAATCAGATCAAAATCATCATAACAGAAAAAAAAAGCGTAAAAAAACATCCACCTGGGTGTAACACGTGCGTATATTGTGCTCCATTTTGTGAACTGAACTACCAAAATAAATCACATTTTTAATAATATTGTAATTAATAAGATGCACCTGCATTTCTTTAATAGTCTCTTTCTTTGCTAAGAAGTTTTTAAAATAAATATGTAGCCGACCACCTGTGTGACCAAATGTTAATGTATATATGGCAAGTCATTATGCAAAATAGTTTTATCAAAGTCTTAGGAATAAACAACTGATGAAACTTTAAAAAAAAAAAGACAATTGCATTAGTAAGCTAAGTTTACAGCCAACATATTATATATTATAGGGATTATATTCAACAGCTAAATTCAAATAGAACAACTGTACTGCCAAACGACATAAAAACAGATTTTAAAAAGTTAAAAAGATTTATTTGTAGATTGAACATAATTACTGTGAGAAAGTTTGATCATTAAATTCACTGCCTGACTTATTCTCAGTAAGAATCAGAAGAATGATAAAACTACACAAAATTACCTTTAAGGTTTATTCATTCTGTTGAATGTTTATTTGAGCGTATGCTAATGTTAAATTATAATTAACTTTTGATATTAAATCAGTGAGCCTTTTAGTTAAACCTAATTTGACTACCAAATTGATTTTATTCAATTTAGTTTTGGGTATCCTTAATATTTTCTGCATAAAATGGTGCAAACTTGAGTGTAAGTTCAAAGCCTCGTGTTTGTTTAAAAATATCCTGCCAAATTATTTTTAAAGTAAATGTCAGAGCCGTTTCATTAACAGAGTAGAGGCGGCAGCATTTAAAAAAAAAAAAAAGCTTTCCACAGTTTGGAGTTAATATAGAGAAGAATATAAAGGGGATGAGTAAATTATGGTAGTAATTTTAGGTGATACTTTATATAACATTTTATTATAGGCAAGACTGAAAATCATTTTGGCATCCTGGTGTTGCTAAAACAGTGCAAGCCTTTCATCACATTTCCTGCTTACGTACACAACGTATTTAGAGCAAAACATAAAACGGCAGACAAAGAGAAAAAGCAGAATGGAGCCCATTTTTTCCTGTCAGCAACTGAAAAATATACATTTGCAGGGTGACGGAGACAAAGGAAGAGACAAATCCACTTTCCATAGCGCCGCCTTTTATTTCAGGCCCTTGTTCCAATCGCAGGCTTACTTTTTTTTTTTTTTTTGTCTCCGACGCTGAAATGAGCCGGGGGAATTAAAGAGGAAGGAAGACAAAGGATGAGATGTTCCCTGTTCTATTCATTCCACTCCAGAGCCCCATCAGAGAGAGAGTAATTACAGGCCTGTTGAATGCAAGTCACTTAGAAGTGGATGCTCATCTAAAGGATGAAGATCTCAGCAAGGGAGTGTTTCTCAAAGCAATGTTTTAGTTGCATTTAAAAGTATGTTGTGTAAGTTAAATAAATACCAAAATACATCAGGTCTAATGTAAAAGATGGAGCCTCATCTCTGCCAAAAACGGCAGTTGCTGCCTACTTGAGACTGATGGCAATCTGAAAAATTTCTGTCTCCATTTTTACAGCTTGTCAAAATCCTTTTTTTTTGTTTCTTTCCATTTTTGATGCTATCTTTTTAACTTTTTCATGAAGAAACTGCCTTGCAAGGCAAACAAGAATAGACTTGTTAGGCTGAGGAGTAATATTTCCAGAAGATAAGAACGACAAACAAGATCAAAATCAGATCTTTTCTAGTGGTGAAACTGGCTACATCGCACTCATATCATAAGCTGATGAGTCGCTTTTTTTTTCTTCCTGCATTAAACTGGCTAACTGGAGCAATAAATAAAACCGTTGTACTGCAAATGCACATAGAAAAGTGTGGAGGATAAACTCATGTTCTTATTAAACACATCTCTTCATAAATTATTCTTAAGCTGCGCTCTCTGGAGTGTCGACTTTCATAGTATTTAAAAAAGCTCTGCTGCAAAACTACCCAGCTAAAGTTTGACTATTATTACATTATTTAGCTGAAGCAAGTGACTCGCTCAAAGTCTTATTGGAGGGTGTCTCTTCAAAGCTGAAAAAGACGTCAGAAATTTGACATATATAGTGGGATAAAGTATGTTTAACTGTTTTTTCTGATCCCTTTATAGGACTTTTATCCAACAGGGGACTGTAATGTCCAAATATTCATTCAAAGAGTGAGTAGTCTATTGGCTTTGTGGTTGAAAGTCTTAATGGCATGTTTAAATCTGATGAGAACAGGACTTAAAGTTTTCCAGTCCAAGGACCCCCAAACTGATGGCGCCATGGAGCGGGGACCCGCTATGTAGCATCTCCCCTGAAAGATGCTCAACACTTGACTGATGGTTTCCTTGTTTATTGGAATCTTAGCGTTCTCAACAATAATCCTTTTAACCAACCACCGTAAGCTATGCAGAGCACAGGAGAAAAAATGTATTATGGTACTAGCCAATACTATGTAAAATTAGCATCTTGTACGTAAGCTACGGAGACCTAATAATAAACTTAAGAGTTCTTCACATGCATTTCAAAACACATGAACACATTAAACATGTCTTATCACATAAGCACTAACCTTGTGCCACTTTGGATGGATTAATTCCTTCAAACAAAGTTTAATATTTTTTACTTTTATCTTTCCTTCTTTTACTATGTTTCAATCTCAGCCTCTTCTCTGTATCTCGCAGTAACCAATTACTAAAACCTGGTCATGTAGTTTCAAAATAAGGTCCATTAAAACAAGGTAAAAGTGTAAAGCATTATAAATTCACAAAAATAATAGCTTTTAATAATTTCACATTGTAATATGTCTTGTAGCAAAATTAGAAATTGGGTCATTTACACCCTAATTATATATATTGTATGAAATTATTATTAAAGTATTTCTGATTCTGATTCCTGGTAGATGGGACAGGTGTTGAGAATGAAACAGCTCCCAGCTGGAAAGGGCTCGTGTGTTGCTAAATGTGTGCATTGATGACTGAAAGACATCTTCTGCCTCCATTTATCTATTTACTACAGTGTGTTGAATTCATGTTAACGTGTATTTAGAGGCATTTCGATTACTGGAAAAATTACAGGGGTAATATAAAAAAATAAATAAAAAATTACACCAAAACTTTCTCGACCCGCTTCTCTGTACCTCTGTGGACCTCCTAGGGGTCCAGACCCATGTGGAAGACCTACAAACTAGACCATTACTGCAGCTCTACTAAGAAATAAAGAAATCACACTAACTAAATCACAGCAAAAATAAACCCGACCATTAACCATCCACCATCTTATTGTCTGAGTCTCATAGAAAGGCCTGAACACACCTGTTGCATATGACTTTTTAATCTCTAATTAGATTATTTTTTTTCCATGTCACTGCGTAGAGAGGCTCTGCCTAGGCAGGGTGAGCAGATTCTGTGCTGATTCTTTTCACTTCTGTCTCTGTGCTATACAGAAATTAAAACAATTTCCCACATTTGACTTGGAGAGATTATGAAAAGTTATAAACAAAAATGTGATTCTGTGCAGCATCTCAAACACAACATAATGAGATCTACAATTAAAGAAAAGAGAACAGCAATAAACGGCGTGAGGCGGTTTATAAGCTGACTGAGGCAGTGAGAGCTGATTCTCACTCTGCCCCACATTTTGTTTTTTGTGAGACTTAAGGAGGATCGCTATTTTATCCGTTTTATGTCCTCCTGAACTCCTATCATGGGTAAAGTATTTTAAGGTTTCATCCATTGTTTTTGCATGAGTCTTTCCCGCTTGCTGTGTATGCTCTGTGCGACTCCAAAACTGAGTGGATTTGTTTCACTTGTAACGCGTCTCTCTTCCTGTCAGACCCCTGATTGCTTAACGCCATGAACACGTCCGGCAAACCTTAGTTATGCTGTCATTTTATTTTTGGAAAAGAAATAGGTTTTCTCTTTAAATTGTATTAAATGGGCAATAATTGGTATGTTGTTTTTTTTTTCTACCTGATTCCACACCAGAGAAAGAATTAACAAAAAGTCCTACACTAAAATGATATCAGCAGACGTGGCGTGCAAACAAAAGCTCTTGTTTTTATTGAATTACCTTTGGTTCCTTTCTCCTACGAATGCATCTCCTGTTATTTGAGCTCTGCTTCCCACGAGGTTGGAACCATTTTTTTCTTTTTTTTTTTTAAGTTAACAACAAAGAGTGTTTGAATGCAAGTTGGAGA